CAGTCTGAGTGTCATGAGCTGCTGTTGAAAGAAGCAGTTATTGTACATTCCATGTTGTACGAGTATGTTCTGACCAGAAACCTTTTCCACATCATGTTTATTTTGTTAGATCTATTTAATCAGGTTAGGTTTATATTTAGTCATTCAATGTGAGTACAAGTAAAGAACATTATTGCTATAGGCTACATCTACGAATAACGCAGTAATTGGGTGCCCCCCAGAATATAGCACTGCCCCCTATTGGCCCCCCTAAAAAAACCCTCGAGTTGCCCCGGCTCGTTTAAGATGCGCACAAGCAGAGTTTAAGGCCACTAAAAATAGAGCTTTTAAAAAACTTCCCCGAGGGTGAAGACGTTCAGTATTGACGTGTAGACAACGTAAATTGAGGCTTGTACCATCAGACTTATTGTTCCCCTATACTGAGGAGAACAGGCATCAGAATCACTTCAGACACATGATTCCTCCCTTCACCAATCGGTAGCTTTCCACTGCCAGAATCCGGGGCAGGCACAAGGTGACACAAACGTTTACAGAAAAAAGCCCATGACGGGTCCTTTCAGCCTCTCTGCTTCCATTCTATCATTTGGTCTGACAGCTGCGATTGCGACATGAACTCCAAGCGCACCAAAGCAATGACAGAACAATTACTGGAACAATGAACAATGGAGCTTTGTTATGTTCCTCTATATGGCTCATATTAAACTGAAGACGGTGACATTTGAATGAAGACCCTTAGTCGATGAGAGGGTAGAAAAATGGCGCTTGGTGCTCTCTCCAAGTTTAACCAATCAGAATTTTCCCCTCTCTGATTTGAACCAATCAGTGTTTAGACCCACAGAGCAGTTTATTGCAGGGAAGCACCCTGAAGTAGGAGCTTTTTCCTCCCCAATAGTTTCCTAATAAAAGTTCCGAGATGGGCGGTTTCTGTGGTTGGAACATAGTGGAAGGTTCAGGATGTTCTAAAGCAACCTGCAAGTTCCTGCGTGTGGAAAACGGCCTATTACTGGTATTGGAACCAGTAATACCATTTTCTCGGCCTCTGATTGGCCATTATCCCGTTGGGGAAAGGTTCTATCACCAGCTGTTGGTTTGGTCAGGCCTTCACAGGGCTTCAGCTCTATGTTTCTGAATTTTCTCAAAGGGATATTTAACAAAACACTTGTGTAAACGTGAACCAGGCCTTAAACTGTGGCCCTGTCTTGTAGTGGTACAATTACTGGATTATAATCGTACTTGTAAAAGGAGATCATAGAAATACAGGAGCTGTGGATAGCAGTGTGTTGGTTGATTTTATTCATGTTGCATTTTAGGAAAAATCCGTTGCAGTCTGAAGTATTTTATGACGTCTTATTGTGCAAACAGCAGCAGAGAAAACCCCCTGGAGGCAACAGTCTCCTGCCTATAGGTTACCTCCATAAATTTGGTTGACATAAAGAACATTTCTTGTCCCAATTGCCTCCTCAGCACTCTGCACTCTGCACAGTCTGTATCTATTCTGAGACTTTTCTATGGCCACTTTATTCCAGAGCTCAGCGTCTCTGCGTGCTCCTGGGGACATAACTACCAGTGTTGTAGTTCTGGATGGATGCTGAGAAGTCAAGCCTTAAATCCTACAGTTACAGTACACTATGTCCTGAGTTATTTCTGGTTGGCTGACCTACAATTCCCGCAACTCCTAAAACCATATGTACGAGCATCGAGGATGTTTTGCAATGTGAGACGATTCTTTCACATCTGCCACAATGCGTATCCTGTTACAAAGCACATGCAGTTTACAGCAGTTTTAATAGGTGCAGAGGCACAATAAAAAAAAAAAAGGAATGTTCATACAGGACAGGAAAATTACTGATAATAATAATAATAGCAGAACCGGTACTTATTACAATCCAGGCTTCTTTGGAACAAAAATACACAAAAATAAAATCATCTGCACCACTTTATTCACTTCAAATGTAGAAACAATAAACAGAAACCACCATCCTGAAGACTAATGCTGTATTTTAAAGCTTGTTTTATTCAGATTAACATTATGAAGGCTAAATTCTATACTTTGGAAGCATTTTCGATTTTAAATGTAGAATTTCCAGGAAATACTTTCTCTCTATTAAATCAATCAACATTTGAAAGACTTGCATTGTCAACTTTTTATAAAATATCACTTAAAATACCGATCAATTAGAGCATCTAAGACATTTAGATGTACTGTAGGAAAGTATGTGATTATTCAGATGTTGTTTGAGAAGGATATATTTACATTTTCATACATTTTTATAAGCCTTTCAGCACAGAGGCTATATTTACACTTAAATCTGATGCCCTTAATCTCATCATCAAAAATACATTTTTTTAAAATGGCGTGCAAAATAAATATGTATAAACATGAAAGACAAATGTAGAGCAAGACAAATGACAAGTTGTATAAGGACCAGCTCTCTACATGTTTTGTGTTTGCGGTTTAGCAATTTGGCAGTTTTTATGAATCCATCAGTCAGACTTTTTGTGTCGCACTTGTCACACAAACAGAACGCAACAAAAAGAGCTTCACAGAACAAAAAGGGGAAAAAAAAAAACAATAAAAAACAATTCCCCCAAAAAACAATTATGTTTTTTAAAAAAAAGGAAGGACCTCAGTACAAAAAGAGGCAATAAGGAACTGTAAATGAGTTTGATTCATTTAAAATGAGGAAACACCAGAGGCAGGAGAAGTCAAAAATTCAGAAAAGCAACAGAATAGAATAGAATAGAATAGAATAGAATGCTTTTATTGTCATCATACACAAGGTACAACGAAATTAAAAGACAAAAATAGGCGACAATAGAAAAGTGAAGTGTAGAAAGACAACATACACTAAAAAGTATAAATAAATAGACAAATAAATCAATTAAAATCAATTAAAAAACAGACTAAAAATAACACTTAAGTTTGATTTTAAATGCCAAACATTTAAACTTGATAATTAAAACGTGATAAAATTTTAACAGCATGAAAACTTCTTTTTTTCTTCTTTACTTATTCAATTCTAGCAGATACTTACAGTTAGATTTAGCACTTGTCCTGATCATGCAGTGTTTTTCCATCATTATTTCTGCTTATTAATAAAAATCACCAGACTTTAAGGTTTTATAGACCGCTAGCTTAATAAATTAAATCAATGTAGAATGACTCACAGGCATTTGACTTAAAGTGATTTAAGGGCTTTTATACACTGTGGCTCTTGACCTCCCATTTTAACGGTGGTCTAATGAACACAGCATGTCAGTGGGAAGTATTGACTTCATGTACTGGAACTGAAGAAATATTTTATGACATTATGATTCCTCACAATGATTTATAATTTCCCTTTAATTTAACGGTGTGTTTATATGTCAAGATGTTTGATCTTTTAACACTTACGGCTCCATGTTTGTCATTACAGTGACTTTTAGGAATGCTATTTTAAACACTCTGTTGCTATTTAAGGTGAAATCCTATAGACAGAAATGCTTTTGCACTGGTCAATATATAAAATTAGTCATATTGTGCTTTATTAACATGTATTCTATCAGACTAATGGGGGGAAAATCATTTACAATTATCTGTTTATTTTAACCCGCCTGTTATCTTTGGGATCAATTTGACCTCATTCAGTGTTTCACATCTCTTTTTATTTTTATTTATAGGCCTATTTTCACATAAACTTCGGTAACAATTTTAGTTATGATATTTTCTGGAGGGTTTAATTGCTGGGATCAATTTGAACCCAAATTTAATTAAATCTGTAGATTATTTAAAGGGTTTTAAATTAACTTTTTCTATTTACATTGGTAGATTTTAGTTATATTACATATTATATTAGTTATTATAATTAATAACCATAATTTTAAAAAATGACAATGCATATGTTTAAAGGTAGTTTTCTAAAAATGAGCTTTTTCTCATATTCTGAACCAGAAACTTAAGTAATATACACCACAGTTTCCACTTTTATTCCGATCTATTTCCTGACTGTTTTTTACAGAGGGTGTTGTTTGCATTTCATTCACATCCTGGTTCATATCATTTATTATTTTTTAAATTTGGTCAACACGGGATCCCGTCGGCACGACATGCGAAGCTGCTCCTCTTTAAATAAACCTGGAACGACTCGCCCTGTTCTCCTGCAGTGTCTCCTTTTGAACAGCTTCAGTTCGACATGATTTCAGGAGAACCTGGCGGCTCTGAGGTGCTGCTAGTTGGCATTCCTGCAGGCTGCCGGTGCGGCTGCCGGGCGGCGGGGAGCGGCTGCCTCCCTCTGCTGCCCGGCGCAGGCAGCGCTGCTCCACTGATCTACTGACCCACTTTCCAAAGGAGCTGAACGCCGAAGAATACGGACAAACCTCGCGCGAACACGTGACCAACTAAGCTCCTCGAGGGGGCAGTTTTGGAAAAGTTTTAGCGAAAAAACATGGCGGCGGCGGGCCAAGGAACACTAAAGGTTAGCGAAAATATATATTTATAAGGCTGGGAGGAAACAGTCGCCATGGTTACTGTGACGCGGCAGCATGAATTTGTGAGTATTGCCTCCCGAAAAAGAACAAAGCTCGCCCTCGGTGCGCGCGTCCCGCCGAGGACGAGCACGTAGTACGGCGGGCATGAATGGACAAACTTCCACCGGTGCGCACCGCGGGACCGCCGCCAATCGGCATTTCAGGCGCAGCCGGCAGGTGTGTGGCTGCACCGGTCGCCGCTGCCGCTCAGTTTGCCCGGCAGGCTGCTGCCTACGCCCCGGCTAAGAGGGCTTGTATCGGTCGCTCGCAGAAGTAAGTGCGTGAAGTTAAAGTTTAATAAACAAACAGTAAAGCTCGCTCACTGTTAGCCAAAGTACAGAAGTTTCTCTAGTAGTAAGCTAGCATCTCTGCTGTGGCATTTGAGAAACAAGTTGTCCCCCCTCCCAAAACAAAAGAAAAGACAGAAAACAAAGGCGCCGATTAGACATTAGAAGTAGCGGAAAACACACAGAGCCACCAGGCTGGGCACCTACCTGCTGCCCGGTCCGCCGTCCCGTCAGAGCCCCCAGCCGACATGCCTACAGACTGGAGCCGGTGTGCCCGGTGCAGGCTACGGAGCGCCGCGGCGCATGTGGAGCCGCCAGCTGTAGTAGTAAGAGGCTGTGGAGGAGAGGAGGGAACTTCAGAGAGTCGCGCTGTTGTATAATTGACTTCATTTTTTTTTTCTCTCACCCTCCTCCTCCCGTATTTTTTTTTTTTTTCTTTCACAAAGGAGGCGGAGGGGGGTTAGAAACGTGAGGGATGGGTGAGAACGGAACACCCATGTCCTTTAGGAAACACGGACAAGAGAGAAGGAGCGCACACTTGTCTCCTCCTCCTCTTCCTCCTTTATCGCCTTTTCGGTTCATTCATGTTCGCTGGACACAGTGCATGGGCGTCTAGCAGCTTTAGTTTCATTCATTTTAGCACGTCGTAGATTAGCAGGAACCTTCAGGGAACCTTCAGGCAACGTTGTCTGTTTACAGGGGCGTGAATCAGCGATCAGAAAACACACTAAGCATGCATGCATGAAGATGAATGACATGAATGCTCATCAATAAATAAGGCTGTGAAACATTGACTCCACACATCTACAGTGTTTCTGCTTCGTCAACACGCTGACTTTACCATCACAGACCACAGCGATGCTGTCAGACAGGATGGTCTGACAGGAAACGTGCAATGGGAGTATGTCAGCGCTAATAAATGACTCTGTGATTCATGCCAAACAGAGCCGGCCCAGCCTTGTCGGGGCCGCCCGGTGAGAGATCGCTTCCTCCGGTGCAATGCACGTTTTGGTGACCTGAAAAAGTGCGTTGCGCGCGTCACCGATCTGACTCTGCTACTCTCTCGTTTTCCTCCAAACACAGAGGCTGCTGCAGGAAGAGGTCTCACTCCGTCCTACATTCCTGCCCCACGATCAACAGAGCCGCACTCAGGGGTATAAGTGGATATATTAAAAAACTACATAGGTGAATAACTTAATCTTTAAGACATTTTATTTAATATCTTTTACCAACACGTTTTTAACAATGCTCATCTGCGTGACCGTGTCTCTCCCATGCTCTGGTGCAGTGGGGGCATAGCAGGTTGTAATTTTCCACATCCGACTGGCTTCCAAACGTGTCAAACCAAATCCTGCTGTGCATACCGTTTGCCTTCTGCAGATGAAGCTGAAAACAGACGTCACCCTGAAGGTCAATAATCAAAGCGCACCAACAACAAGCACAACACGTTTTTGAAATGGGGGTCTTCAAGTTAACACAAACACTGTGTTTTAGGAAGCAGTTGTTGACTGTGATGAGTGCTATGGGTCCCAGTTATAAAGACCCAATAAGCATTCAGCCTCAGCTTGATGCCAGAAAGATGTCAGAGTGAGGGATGCAGTGATATATGGTTTTGCTTTTCAAAGGCAAAGGAGGCTGAACCCCAAGTTTGAAAAAAAAGAGGACATTTTACCAATTAACCAGTGGGCTAGCACATACTTATAAACACATTAACACTTGAGCTTCCCCCACTGTGCACATAAGAGTTTCCAGACGAACTAGAAAGGACAAATAGAAGATGAGCTATTTCTAACATCCCACATACGAATAAATAAACTTTGCTGCTGAAGTATTACTGTATTAAAAACTAGTTCTTCACAATCAGCTCTTTGATCTCACAGGTCACACATGTATTTATCCTGCAAAAATAAAACAGCAGCATGGAAATGTTGTTTTCTGACCCAAAGAAGAAGTTAAAAATCAATTTCAAGGGTTTAATTTAGCCAATTGTGCATGAAAAGCTGTTCCAGTGGTGACAAATTCTAAGTCATAGAGTAAAACCCACAAACTAGCCAGGTGTGGCTTTAAAGGGCAGTGATCTGATGGTGTGACCAGCCCACACACACACACACACTCACACACACACACACACCTTTGACCCGTGACTATGAAAAACACATTTAAAATGCTGCTTTATTCAAATGACACGAGGCCACAGGTGACAAGTGAAAGGCGGCAACAGGTTGTCCACATGCTGAAAGCTGGAATGGCAGAAGTTTAGATAGAATAGAATAGAATAGAATAGAATAGAATAGAATAGAATAGAATAGAATAGAATAAAATAGACTTTATTTATCCCAGACCTGGGAAATTTACCCACCACAGCAGCATCCAAAAACATAGAAAGAAAGTACAAGAAAATAACAATAATTCAGTAATATGCATCCACACACTGGCTGAATGTGGGGAGAGCGGTGGAGAGTGATGTATGATTAAAGTCTCCTGAGATGATGATCAGAGACTGAGGGTGTGATGTTTGCAGCTGGAACACTGAACTCTGGATGAGTTCACAGACTGCAGCAGCATCAGCCAAGAGGGGGAGATGTAAACTGTAGTCGCCATGATGTGCAAAAGCTCCCTCGGGCTTAAGGAAATCATTTTAGATGCATGGTACAATCGGTTACATGGTGCTCTGGAAGGACGTGTCCGATGATGAAGAAAGTCGTTCTGTCTTCTTTTGATGGTCACCAGACCCTTTGATTCCATCACCTTTTGTCATGTGTTCTCCTGCCTCCTGTCACCGACCCCCTGTTGTTTATTGTTCTCTTGCCTGCTGTCATTAATTAGCAACTATATGCTAGCTAACCACTATTCACTACGGTATTTATATCCCTACCCTCTGATATACCCTATAAAAAGTGTAACACTGCAGATGTTCTGGGTCGGTTTACCATCACAGACTCTGTGTTGGTAAGCCCACTAATAAACACCCACTACAGCACACTTCACATGAGGATTATGGGTAAAATTTCTTCAACATCCCGAAAATGTCCTCCAGCTCTACTGAGTCCTTCAGGATGAGTGGGACAACATTTCACAAGCAGCATCGACAACTTCCTTAAATCTGTTTATCACAGATTTGTGGCGCAAAAGAAATGATGAACAGACTCGTAGCTGACTTGTGATTTCTGACCCATGAGCCCACCTCCAATCTACAGATGATCATTTCCATACACATGTTTTAAAATGAACGTGTGCTATATGGACTTCCTTATATAAAAACCTGTTAAACTAGGTCTTGTTCTTTGTGTTAGCCCTCTGATGGACTTGTGTTGACCCACTCACGTGCACTAAACCAGTTCCAACCCCCCCTTCCACAACCCTCTTCAAGATAAAGCGGCGTATAGATAATGGTTGAATGGCAGCCAAATAATGTCGTTGTATAATTGTGGGATTTTTGTAGGGCACAAATGTTGTCAGCCTCGTGTGTTTTCATCACCTGCCTCTGCTTCTGTGAAAACACTTTACATGTTTTGGGTCATCTGGGTTTATATGATCACGGATTTGCATGTAAAAGACTAAACAAAAAAAATAAAATAAAATAAATGTACCAAAAGTTGTGGTTAAATATTCTCCTGTCCTCATTTCCCCTAATGTCAAAAAAACCACATCAGAGAGTATCGGTGGGAGTGGAGCCTCCTTCCCTCCGTTGACGATCTTCGTCTCTCACCTACATAGTGTATTTCGAGACCTTTGCACGAGACTTTACGTAAGAAGGAAGGCTTGCACGTGCCAGCGAGAAACGTGTTGACCTATATATTATATAACTCGCCGGTCACGTGGCGACGGTTGGCTCGTTAACCCATTTAAAGGCCCGTCTGCGGAGAAAGTACGGTGTCCCAGTGCACTCCGCAACCCGGAGACGCCGGCAGCGGCGGACGGGAGACACGGAAAAGCGCCACAGTGACACAGTTAGCGGCTCCAGCACGAACACCATTAATATTAATAATAATAATAAGAATAAATAAAAACAGTGGTTTGGTGAGCTAGCATGGACGAGCAGCTCGATTGTTTGTTAGCATGTTAGCTTGTATCATCAGTGGCTTTTAATTTTAGTTTAAAAGAGCAGCTGTGGAGACAAAAGTGCTTTCTAGTAGAAAATAAGATATAAATAAACCTCACACGTTTTAAATATGGAGGCTAACACCCCTACAGTGTTATTTATGGTGGGACTTTAACCCAGGAATTTAAATAAATGGAATTAAAACCTTACAAAAATATATAAAATACAGCTTTACCTGACAAGTGATAAGACTAAGAGCTTACGGTATTATTAAGCATGTAGCTAAATTAAATATTAGTGCAATATTATTAATTATGGAGGGTGATCTGACACATTTAGACCTGAATTTATGACCCTACAAAAATATGCACACACATATATTTATATAGTGACCCAACAAATCCAAGGATTCTCTGGTTCACCCTTGTTCAAACTTTATTTTTATTATTATGCTTATTATATTGTATATACGTGTATTATTTAGACATTTAACTGCTTCTTTTGCACTTTTGGTTCGATGCCAAACTGTATTTTGTTGTCTTAGTGATGAACAATAACAATAAAGTTGAGTTAAAGTGAAGTAAAATAGTTTTAAGGACAGAGTAAGTGTGTTAAGATGTATATATAAATCTGTATAAACAGTCCATGTAAGTATGCAGGATTTATTAATGCCCATGTTTGACTACGTGCAGTATGACACAGAATGAACAGATTTTTTTAAGTGTTTATTTCTTATTTACAGTAGCAACAGTGGAGGATCGACTCCCTCTCCTTACGAGGAAAAGACCTCCAGCAAAAACCAGGATCAGGGAGAGCCCCCATCTGCCTGGACCGGTTTGGGTGAGGGTAACGTGGAGACAGAAAAACAACAGGCGCCACAAACAGACAGTCTGAGATTAAACGTGCTTATATATTCCTTTATGTGTTTTGTGTTGACGTGTGAGCAGTGGAGGAAAAAAAAACCCATAACGTAGCTATAGTCTTGCCTCACCTTTAAACAATCCGAGGTATAAATAGGTTTGTTTGGGCCTGTGGGTGTGTTTGTTTTCGGGGGCAGCCAGTGTAAAATGTAGGTCCTACTCCTACTCCGGGGTTATTTGTGCCTTTGGAGCTCGCCTTCCTTTTTTTTAATATATATTTTGAACTCTTGGCTTCTTGGTGCTGGTGCTCGTGACCTTTCTGCGTCAGTTCGCTCCACCCTTCACGCTGATATCGGGGGAACTTGGTGTTATTTTATCTTAGTCATGGCTAAAGAATGTGTCTGTGTTCCTGGTTTGGCCTGCAGTTCCACAGCCAGCAAATAATTCAGATGTCAGAAATTAACTACTGATGTGATTTATTAAAGGTTGGGTAGAAAAAAAAGAGGATCAACTTTAAACTCAAACATTTCTTAAGCCAAAAGCAACTATTAAAACTCAATATCTGAAGGTCAGTTTCTCAAAACATGTGAGTTAATATTAAAGGTTTTGTCACAAGTATAAAATAAATTGTCGTCCAATACTGAGCTGTTAAAGCAGCTTGTCTGTGATCAAACACATGCTGCATTTGAGCTTTTCAGTGAAAACAGCAGATGGCACATGTTGCAAATGATGCCTTAAGAACCAAAAAAAGCCTATTAGATGTTAGACAGGAAACTTATGTTGTTACCTTTCTCTCTCTGTAATGAAAAAGATGACAATGGGGTCATGGCATGACAGTCTCTCCTGCATCAGCCGTCTTTACGAGCCTTTAAGTGACCTGCCTGTCGTCGGCTCTCTGCACTAACCTGATTTCTTAATGGAAACCAGAAACCCGGTTTCTCTAATCGGGGTAAGGGATTAAGAGAAACCCGGTTAGCACAGCTAGATTTCTTTTTGTTTGTTTTTTTTGCTGGAAAAAAATAGTAAATAAATAAATAAAGAGGAAAAGGTGTTGGTCATTCATAGACGTCAGCATGTCTGAGATGTGAGGAGGAAGAAGTGAGGCGGAGACAGTAGGATCAGGGCTGACATCTGGACACTCAGCCAGGACAAAACCAAGAGAAGAAGTACGAAGAAGCTTTTTTTTTTCCAGTCAATTGAATACTTGAATAATAAATATGTCATCCTGCGTAAATCCCCTTCAGACTGCAGCGTCATGTTTTTGTTAATAACACAGCACCTCTAAGAATCAGATCCCTGTTAAAGAGTGTAAACTACTGATAGCATCAATTGTTGATGGTGTGAAATGACAGGGTCTGGAAAACATCAGCGTTTTAGAAACTGAGGAAACAGCAGGGTTTGTACTCGGTCAGACAGCATTTAAACCAGACAGCATGGAAATTACACACCAACCTTGGAGCTCTTAAGGTTCTGCTTGACAGCAGTGAAGCAGACCGTCCATTCATAAGATCCAGAACAGCTCAGGTCTGTGTGTCCGGAGCTCCATCTAGTGGCCGAGGACGGTCACTGCAACGAGCTGGGCCGCTTTCAGAACCAACACTCTGCTTCTGTTCTGTCAAATATGTAACTGTAGGTTCAGGATTTACAGTTTTGCCAGTTTAAATTTGAAATAACAAATACATGTTTCTCCCCTGCACTTAAAGATGCCTTTTACAAACAATTTTTCCTTCCTTTTATGTATTTTGCCAAATTATACAGTTGAAACCAGAAGTTTACATACGCTGTATAAAAACACATATAATGTTTTTTTTCCTCACTGTCTGACATTAAATCAGACTAAACGTTTCCTGTTTTAGGTCAGTCAGGATTACCAAAATTATTTCTATTTGCTAGATGCCATAACAAACAATTCTCTTAAAAAATAAAAATAAAAACTTCTCTCTCATTATTCTGCAAATTATTTAGCAAATAGAAATAATTTTGGTAATCCTAACTGACCTAAAACAGGAAAAGTTTAGTTTGATTTAATGTCAGACAGTGAGGGAATAAAGGTTATGTGTCCTTTTATACAGTGGATGTAAACTGCTGGTTTCACCTGCAAATTAATAATGTTTTTGTTTTTGCTTTTTTTTGTGCAGTAAAGTGTCAGAAAAGGGTCAAATTCAGATGGCTCAGTTTTTCTCAACGCTCAAGATGACATCCTTGTATGTGTTATTTCATCTACAACCCAAAGATGTTCCATTTACTGTCACAGAAGAGGACAGAAACCAGAAAATATTCACATTTTAGCAGCTGCAATCAAAAGTCTTATTTTTTTTTTCTTTCTTAAAAAGTTACTCAAACGTATCGCCTATTGAAACAGTTGGTGATTAATTTAATAATTGACAACCGATCAATAATTTGATGAATCATTGCAGCCTCAGTAGATAAAAAGGTGTTAATGTGTAACACAGGTTTTATTCTCTACAGTCGTTGCCCTGAAGCA